GCAATAATATAATTTAATTTCAATTTGTTTGGTACAGAGAAAACATCGAAGGAACAGAGAAAGGAACAGGAATTCAGAAAAAAAAGCGAAACATATCATGGAAAAAGCAAAACAGATCATGGAAAAGCCATGGATGCGTAATATCGACTGGAGTTCCTCCGTATGTACACAGGAGATGTTTGATAAATTTTGGAAATATACCGATTTACGTAACAAATGATGCCTGTAGGAATCACTTTGAAACGTGTAAAACATAAAACAAATCGATTTATTGAATAATCTGCCGCATTAGATATGACAATATCTTTGAGTACGAAGAATACGATCACATCAAGGATGTACTCTTTTTCTGAGGTTTATATCACGTTCAAATCTCATTGTTATCACGTTCAATAGGTTGTTATTAAATGCAAACAAATTCTGATCAATTTTAAAGGCTTCCGGAGCTACCGCTTTTCAAAATATCAACCAACTCTACGCCATTAGAATATCCCAAATTTAACATTAAATCGATCACTAAAAGTGACAGGTTGATGTTTACTGTTTACTCATTGGTCCAAAAATGCATATATCATGTACATGATCATAGAAAAGTTTCATACAAGAGTACATCCTTAATGTGAAATTATTGTTTTAGGTTTTCGTGTAGTTGGAGAGGTGGTCGCTTGCTTTGTTCTTTGTGATTTTCACTCGAGTGTTTTGATGTGTATAGTTAGTTTAACTGATATATTATGCATATAATTGTCAAATTAAAACAGGTGAATTACCCAAAATGATATTTCAGCTTAAAATTGGCATATTTTACTAGTACTTCTTTAAATCTTAAAATACATCAACTAAGCGGTTTTACAAATCCCCCCCCCCCCCCCCCCCCCCCCCCTCCCCATCCCCCATTTTTTGGCATACTAGGTACATGTTGTCATTAGTAAAGAGCAATGGTGTGTCTTTTCCGTTTTAATTTCAATCTATAAATGACTGACGTTTATTTTGATTATACTAATACGAGAAAACATCATTTATTATTTACATTAAACATACAGTTTGAGGAAGAGATAAAGGACAAAGTGGCCACCTATAAACCATTACCCGGCCTGGATCTCCAGCAGGCGAGGATCTTATTGGTCGGTCAGGTCGGAGCTGGGAAGTCCAGCTACTTCAACACCATCAACTCCATCTTTCGGGGACACATTAGCGCCCAGGCCAACGCTGGGAGCGCTGAACATAGTCTTACAACATCTGTGAGTATAACATGAAATAACAAAATGAAATATGTATAACATTCCTTGGCATCTGGTTATTCAGTGTCACATTTTTATAAAAAGAAATCAATGACTAGGCCTCATATTCTTGTGGGTTTTTTCCGTTATTTTGTGTTATGATACAAAAATAACATAATACAAAAAGAAGGTATTGTCCATTACATTTTAAAAAAACCATTATCAAGATCTCTAGCCTAAAACTGCATATATCATCTCTGGGCACAATGAAGCAAATACATGCATATTACCAGAACAAGGATTGATTCTTAGGGCCCACTAGGACTAAGTTCCTGGGTCAAAACATAGAAGCTGTTAAAATCCGCACCTTATAGTCGTATATGACATGAATAGGAATTATGAAATTAATGCACTCGTTCTAACGGCATTTGCAAATAGGCTGATTTCCTGGATACAGTTAGATCACCAACCTACAACCATATATAGAATTGTTGGGCATGGAGAAACGAATACACATATGTTACAATGATTGCACCTATGGTCATATCGATCCCCGGGAAAACGGTTGTGATCTCCAAGCTATAACCCTACAAATGATGGCAAGGCATGAAAAATGAACACATTCAGACTACATGTACTATGATATTAAGCTTACCTTATATACTGATCACAGCTAAGCTTGTCATTAAGCATCCTTGACCCTTGTGACCCAGTAGTCACTGAATAAATCTATAAAGATATGAAGCTTCACTGAGGGCTGAGAGACAAGTTTCAAAAGGGAGTCACTTTCAGGTTGTAGGCTTTAAAATTCTACTTATTGTGTGATTCGTCTCTTTATATTAGTTCTGCTGTCATCAAACCAACTGCAATAGGGATATTTAAAACATGCGGTATCTTTATAGATGTGGTCTCATAAGTCGGTTTGACGATTACTTCTGATGAGATATTTGCCATAATTGCTTAAAGATCTAGAATAGCAACTGGCAACCTGCACCTGGTTACCATTGTAATGGATCAAATGAAACTATATACTGTTTACGTGTGACGAAGAACTAGAAAATGTGAAACTAGGAACTAGCTAATGTGAAGCTATGAATTGGCTCGAAACAAATTATGAAGAGGCTTATATAAAAATATGTATTGGCCATAGGTGAAACTGAACTGGTTCACAAGACGTTTTTACAAGCTAACAAAAATGTGTATTTGCTCAAGTGAAAAATGAACGCAACACACACATGTGATTTCACCTTTAAAAGTTTGGTTATAATTACAGTATATCAACAAGGAACAGCACTGCATTATACAGCTGTTTCGTACTTCTATGACTTACCGGTGGTGCTAGGGGTCGAAACGTTGATTTCAAATTACATAAAGAGCCGTGCCACTTCTCAGAAAAAAACATTACTGTGGCAAACCTCGGGAACTAAGATATCCATCAGTACGGTCTATCATTAACTCACATTTAAATTACGAGTGTATACTACCTGACGTAAAATATATACATGTACTGGCTGATGTAAAACGTAATACTGACTTCTTCAGTGGCTTAAAAAACTGTACTTCAGTGGCTTGTAAACTATGTACGGCAGTGGCTTGTAAAACTATGTACTTCAATGGCTTGTAAAAATATGTACTTCAGTATCTTGTAAAAACATGTACTTCAGTATCTTGTAAATGTAAAACTATGTACTAGAGTTGTTTGTAAAACAATGTACTTCAGTGGCTTGTAAAACTATATAATTTAGTGGCTTGTAAAACTATGTACATCAGTGGATTGTAAAACTATGTACTTCAGTGGTTTGTTAAACTATGAACTTCAGTTGCTTCAAAAACTATGTACTTCAGTGGCTTGTAAAACTATGCATTTCAGTGGCTTATAAAACTATGTATTTACTCAAGTAAGACTACTATGGACTGGCTCAAGTGGATATATTCACTTGGTCATGTTCTCGCTGAGGTGTACTTTTCAATATTGAATCCTCTTTTTCTACTTCCCAGGGGATTTTGTGGAGCTCATTTATCAGTTAATTCAATATAATTTCGGTAACAACCTTTATTGTTGGTCTCTATTTTGCACCATTTAGTACAGGACATATCAAGTGAGAGACGGGTATGCTGGGAAATCTCTCAACTTCCGGTTATGCGACACACGTGGTATTGAAGAAGACCAAGGTCTTGATGATCACGAGCTTGGCTATTTACTTGAAGGCCATGTACCAGACAGGTACAAGGTGAGTTTGTATTTGTATTTTACAGACAAGAACCTGTTTTTTGTACCAGTGGAATAAGTCTACTGAATTTGAAAATTACCATATAATTCATCATGTTAGGATGTTATACTGCATTCAGGTTGTCAGTCTGTCCCACTGTCTATCTGTCTGTCCATCTGTGAATACAAGTTTTATTTTTAAGTATTGTTACTTACCTTCTGAGCCAATTTTTATTAAAACTTGTAAATGGTAGTTGTGTGCTTGTGGTTATTTGTATTTTAACTATTTTATTTAGACTTATGGTATGTTTCTGGCCTTTTGTATTTGGAGAGGGGCTTACAGTCCTCGTTTTCCTTTACATTTTATATTTTTTGATAGGAGTATAGCTACATGTGTACACTGTGGGCAGAGGGGCTCGATCTAACAGGAGTATACAATGCATAAAATAACAAGAGGCCCAATGGGCCTGAATCGCTCACCTGGTATTAATCTCACACTTGTAATCTTAAAAGTGGACTAAAGTACAGCTAAATAATAGATTTAAACATATGACACCTGTGACCTTGAATGTCGAACAAGGACATTAGGTTGAACAGAGTTTATAGTCTTCCAACCCAGCATGCTTCTAGCAAAATATCATTACCCTGGACATTTGGTCATACAGAACAAATCATTTAAAGATTTAAACATATATTGACCACTGTGACCTTGAATATGGGCGAAGGTCCTTCATCCCAGCATGTTAATGGCCAAATATCATCACCTTGGCCTTTTGCTTATGGAGAAGAAGTTGTTTAAAAGTTTTAAACATGTTTGACCCCTGTGACCTTGAATATATGTCAAGGTCATTCATTTGAACAAACTTGGTAGCCCTTCATCCCAGCAGGTTACTGACCAACAAGCATCGTCCTAGGCCTCTTGGTTATTCAGAAGAAGTTGTTCGAAGGTTTTAAACATGTTTGACCCCTGTGACCTTGAATATAAGTAAAGGTCATTCATTTGAACAAACTTACTAGCCATTCATCACAGCATGCTACTTGCCAAAAAGCATCTTCCTAGGCCTTTTGGTTATTCAAAAGAAGTTGTTTTAAAGGTTTTTAACATATTCGACCATTGTGACCTTAAATATGAGTCAAGGTCATTCATTTGAACAAATTTGGTAACCCTTCATCCCAGCATGTTAATGGCCATATATCATCAACCTAGGCCTCTTGGCTATTCAGAAGAAGTCGTTAAAATATGTTCGGGCAGGTGAGCTAAAATCTCTCACTACGGTTGATATATTTTAATATAAGAAATTAAAAAAAACTTGGGGGTCATGAAGGCTCTTAGGTCTTGTTTAGAGATGAATGCAGGGGAGCTGTCGTATAAAGGGTTGGCGGTGTTATTCACTATGACTAGTTTGTGTTGTTACAATACACATCATTTTAAGTTCGACCATGCAATGTTAAATGAAAAGTACACATATAGGCCTAAAATGTCTCTTAGAAGCATTGTAATTGATATTTTACATTTGTTGTTTAATATTTCATATAAATACTATTCACTATGTACATATTTGTATCTCAACCAGTTTAACCCTGCTGTTCCACTATCACCCGAGGCAATTGGGTTTGTGAAGAACCCCAAATTGTCCGATAGAATCCAATGTGTGGTATTTGTCCTTGATGGTAGTGCTGTGGATGTTATCCCCGCGAAAGTGATGGAGCGAATAAAGGCCATGCAAATACGAATGAATCAAAGAGGTAAGTTTACAGAATGGATATGATTTGTCTCAACTTAATTCCCAAAAAGTGATAATTTATTGGTTTTCTTGTATAACTGATAAATTTATATGCATAAATACATTTATATAATTTTCAGATTTAGCCAGAAACGCAGGTAGCACATATATTTGAAAATGAAATAAAGGTTAATGATAAATGTGTCATTCGCAAGGGCATTTAAACTTATCATGGAGTTGCCACCGTCTCGCGCAAACTTCTTCCAAATCTGTAAGAGGCATAGGTTCATTATATTGGTCTGTAATATACTGGATGCACTTTTGGACATTGCTTGAAGAATAGCTAGACAAAATAAACAAAATGATAGTCATATGATATTGGGTAAGAAGGAAGAGGAGTAGCCGAGGCATACATGTACATTACATAAATAGAAAACTTATAAAAAAAAAGTAATATTAATTTGGCACTAAAATAGTGTAAACTTAGCTACTAAGGGTATGTTGTCATTGCCTCGTTGCGACAGCACGGATCTGGTTCTGACTTTATAGAGTTATCTCACTGACATACTATGCCAAATGTACCCGACAAAGGGTAAACCAGTTGTTGCCATTTCCCTAATTACCAAAAATTAAGCAGGAAATAAAAAAAACTACCATTGCAATATCTTTATTGTACAGTCATTTTAACTAATCTATTGAAACTTGTTCTTTACAGGGATTCCCCAGGTTGTGCTTCTGACGAAAATCGACAGAATATGTGAGGAGATCTCAAATGACATCAGCAAAGTGTTTTTCAGTCCAAGGATGAAAGATTGTGTGGACAGGGTTTCTATGGTCATGGGGCTGCCACGATCACACATACTTCCTGTCAAAAACTACGAAAGTGAGGTAGAGCTTGATCAGAACATTAACATCCTGTCACTTCTCAGCCTGAGACGAATTCTAAATTTCGCTGACGACTACCTGTACAACACACTGGATGAAATAGAGCTTGACAAGGTGCAACACATTAAAATCCGTGAACGAAACTGATATTATGATATAGCTGAGTAAAACCTTTTTATTGAAATTAAGGTGTATAGGAGTGAGAAAAAGACATTTCAATCAGTATTGCTTTCAAAGCATGAGCTCATGTAGGACAAATGAATAGGATTTATTTGTGCGCAATGTTGAAGATGCATTACATTTAATCTAGCTTGAAAAAGACATTTGTACATTCACATTCCTCCGTAACACAACAAAAGCACGTTAATAATACCACTTTCCTGGCTAAATATGAAATCAGAGCGAGATTCAAATCGGGCAAGTTTTGTTGCAGCTTATCAATTATAAGTTCGAACCGCTGAAGACTTCATTCCTTCTTTTGTCGATTCCATGTGGTGATGATTTGGTCATTGGAGGACCATCATACAGCGATGTATTGTAAGCTGATATTTATATACAGCAATTGAAATAAGATACAAAAACATATTGTAAATGTCGTATTCAATTTTATTTTACTATTTTTTGCCAAATGTGAAAGCATGTATCCAAACGCACAAACAATGTTAATAAAACATACATGATTTGGCATTTTCATTGAGTTCAACTTAAGCAAATAATGACATATTGTTCTCATTGCTGACTTGTGATCACTACACAATTAAAGCCGAAAGGATAAAATAATTTCAAATAAGACACTTTTTATGATTTGTTTTGAGTCATGTTTTATATGTATACTATTAAGCTAGTTGTATTTGTAAATTCATGAAATGAAATGAAATATTTCGTTGCATCAGTTGATATTCCGTCTTTGATATACGGAGTTAATGGTATCAGTAATACATTTCTTATAGGTATATATAAACATATCTCACGCATACTTTAAGTCGTGTCAGCTATATATGAAATAGTAAATATAAAAACCTTCTAAATATGTTGAATATTTCACAAGACAATTTGGTCAGACTCGACCCAAACGATCGATTTTTCTGTCCCCTACATGTTGTGTTAACCTATACATTTATCAGTTTTATAATTAATTAAGTTTTACGTTTTGTATTCATCTTTCCTGTAATCCAATTTGCTAAAAACAATGTATCTTAGTAGTTTTTATCCCCTCGCAACGAAAGTTCGAGGGATATAAGATTCAGCCTGTACGTATGTTACACTCTTTGCCATCACTCTAGCGACTTTATTTCTCAACCATTTGTCAAGTGTTTGGTGTGGCAATGTCTTGTACAAGTTTGCGTGTCAGGTTTCTACGTTGAAGGTCAAGATTACTGTTTCTATTTTTAGAAAAACAATTAGCATTGCTCTAGCGACTTCAATTTCATGAAATACCATACAGAGGTTTGGTATGGCAATGCCTTGAACAAGTTCGCGTTTCGGATTTCTACGTTGAAGGTCAAGATCACTTTTACTATTTTTAGAAATAAAATTGTCATCGCTCTGGTAATACATTCCCCAACGGAATTTCATGAAACTCCATACAAGTGTTAGGTATGGTAATGCCTTGAACAAGTTCGCGTTTCGGGTTTCTACGTTGAAGGTCAAGATCACTTTCACTACTTTTTAAAAGTATTTCATTATTCCTCAACGGAATTTCATGAAATTCGACACAAGTGTTTGCAATGACCATGCCTTCTACTATTTCGTTCAGGAATAAATTTGAGTGCCTTATTACGTCAAAAACAGAAAAAGATATTCTTATGCAATCAAAATACAAACTGCACAATAAAATCTATTATCAATCGATGAATGATTTTTCTATTCATTTCCTCATACATGTCACACACTGTGTAAATTCGAAGGGATTTGTAACACTTATTTTGAAGCTAGGTAATCTTGAACTTCTGGGTGGCACATAACGACACATGAAAAGCGTTCACACACCCGTGTCCATGTAAATGATATACCTGCTATACGATTTTATTTATGATAGCGGGCTACACCCACATATCGGTATAAACACAAATAAACCGGCTAACGGATATGTCATTCAATTAAAAAATGTCCTCGTTAGCACTTGAAGACGTAAAAAACATTGACTCTTAGTTTTGAGTCGATAGCGGTTTGAGTTAACAGAGAAGTTAAAAGGGAAGTGTAAACACCACATAAGTAACACAGTTAATGACGTCACATGCATTCCGCCTACACATCTGTGCACATGACATAATATACTTGTTATACATGATTATAGATAACACCGGCCTACACCCATATTCCGAGCTAAATGTAATGGACCGGTTCCCAGAAGTGTGTAATCCAAGTTAAATGTCCTAAATAACACTAAAAGACGAAAACAAATGATCTTAGATAGTTTTAGCTGAAAGGATTTTGCATTAAATCTGTCCTTGTATGATTCCTTATGTGTGGGTGTAAAAGTTTTTTTTCGATCAAACCATTGTTTAGCTAATCATGAGTTATTTCCCCTTAGAGTAGAAATAAGAACACCAAAGATCTATTACAGAAAATACTACAGATGTAATTCGTAACTTTAGATGTTATTTATGTGCCTTGTAGATAAAATATATCGAATTATATAAAATTTATCAGTACAACCATCGAAATACCTTTGTTGTACTTTCATTTCTGTTAAGAAAACCGGAAGTAACAGAAAATATAAGTCAGATTGAGCGCATCATCAGTACAGAAATCTACATGGAAGTAAGTATATCTTTAGCTTTGATTTCGATGGTTAATTATACTCTCCTGTATTTACGCATCATCAGTACAGAAATCTACACGGAAGTAAGTATATTTTTTACTTTGATTTCGATGGTTAATTGTACTTCTCTGTATTTATGTATTGATAGGTTACAAAACTTTATAATATAAACAAAATGTTTAGTTCTTCAGAAATAATACTGACTATCCAGGCAGACATAATTTGGCCTCAAATTGATAAATATTAAGAATGTACACAGATCCCTCAAATGTCAGACTCAAGGCAGGGTAAGTCGTTTCGAGATTGACCGGTGTGCACCTGGCAAAGTAATCGAAGTAGCGAACCTTATCGAAATTGGTTGTTGAGACCTGTGTGTTGAATGTTTTAATGACAATTAAAAATCAAGGGGTGTGATTTATTGAAGTCAGGTACCAATTATAATTGAACAATATCTTCCACAACTGTTGTATTAAATATAGCTACATAACATGTGATATATGGGGTTCAAACATGTGCGAAATGGATGTTATATACAGTGAAAGAGAAAAGAAACCATCGTGGCAAATATCAGCATCCAAATGCCAATACTGAAGTTTTAAAAAAAACTTCGACGTAAAGTTCAAAATGTTAAATTATCTTAAGCACTAGCTGTCACATTTCTTTTTACTTAAAATTCTTTTTCCTAAAATCACTGTTTATTCACTTTGTCGCTGAACCAATTTGAAGGACATTGTCTGCTGAGAATAGGTATTCACTTGATTACCCATAAAGCTTCGGGTGGTCAATTGATATAGATATCCTACAAAGTGATTTGTTCCATAGGAGAAATCTCTACAAGACAAAACACCAACATAACAACACACTCATCAAGACGTATATGCAGACTTTGAATTATACCATTGATATAGGATTATTACAATAGATATAATAAATAGTATCTGAAGTTTGTATAAATACGTTACATATATACGCCTAGCTTGTAACTTTGTTAAGGATGTGCATGCATATAATGCAAGGAACGACTGATTCAGGTTGAATATTAAAAAGCCTTACAGTGGAGTGCTTATGTTACGCGTATGTTGATTGGTGTATAGAAGCAACAGTATCATTATGTAGACCCGCGGTATTTGGCCATTGTATGGTGTACGGCTGGGTGCAGGTATTGATAGTTGGTCATGTCCAATATCTACACACTTTCAGGCTGATCGACAGATATTCATGAAACGTGACACAGACAACACAAGGACAGTACACTTAATGTCATCACATGAAAAGCGCTCACACACCTGTGTCCATGTAAATGATATACCTGCTATACGAGTTTATTTAAAACACCGGGCTGCACCCACATATCGGGACAAACATAAACAACCCGGTCATCCATTTATGTTATTTATTTTTAAAACATGTCCTGGTTAGCACTTAAAGCCGCAGAAAAAATATTGACTCTCAGTTTTTAGTCGATAGGGGTTTGAGTTACCAGAGAAATTAAAAAAGAAAATAAGAAAGATTTGTTACTGATGTAATTCTTCACTTTAGGTAGTGTTGTTGTCCGTTGCAGATAAAATATTGAAGTTCATAATATTTCTCAGTACAGCTACAGTATGGAAATCTGTATTTTACTTTCCATTTGATTAAACGGAAACAGAAAGTAACAGGGAAAGAAAGTCAGACTGAGAAAATTAACTGAATACAAGACTACACTGAAGTAGTTATATCTTTAACATTGATTTCATGATGATTTTATCATTCCTTTATTAATATATGGCTATGGTACCTGGTTTTATCAGATATACAGTTCCTCAGAAATCCTGCATTCCTAACACTTCTTCAAATTTAAAAAATGCGATGAATTCATAAAATAACATTAAAATCTCAAATCAACATAAACTCCAAGTAGAGTACTTCCATCCAAGGTGAAAAGTACGACCAGGTGCAGCAATCGAAGTAGCCAACCTTATGAAAATTGGTTGTTGGAACGTGTGTGTAAATATAGTAATGATACATAAATGAGTTATGGGTGTGACGCATTGTAATAAAACACGCAATAAACAGTATAAAGTAGGGTTCTAATTATTGTTGAAGCATATCTTTCACAATTATTGTAATAGATAGATCAAACAGTACACAAAGATAGTATAAACACATTTCAGTAACGCGAATCTCATTACTAGATTTATGAATTTTATAATTCATATCAGAAATAGCTGATTCAGAGTGAACAATATAAATCCTCACAGATTATCAAGATACCCGTGGTATATGACCATGTGTATTTGTATAGAGTAGTGTCTTAAGTTCATCTTTGGAGGTGGGAAATGGTGGCTAGTCCTTAGCCCGGTGTCCAATACCTACATGTACCCATATTTAAGAGAACAAACAGGTTTATGAATACAAGTAAAACACTACATATGAAACACAGTTAATGATGTCGCATACATCCTGCTTACACATATGTGCACTTGAACATAATATGCCTGTTACACCTGTTTTTAAATACCACCAGGCTATACACAAACGCAATCGACTGACTAAAAGAACTGTGCAGTTCAAGTAAAATGTCCTAAATAACATTAAAAGACGAAAACAAATGATATTTAGATGGTTTAGCTGAAAGGATTTTGTTTTAAATCAGTCCTTGTATGATACCTTATGTGTGTTTGTAAAAGTCTACTCAACCAAACTATTGTTAAGCTAATCATGAGTTATTTCCCTTACAGTAAAAAAAAAGGAGAACATAAATGATATATTACAGAATATATTACAGACGTAATTCTTTACCTCAGGTTTTGTTTACGTGCCTTGTAGATAAAATATATAGAAGTATATGAAATTTACCAGTAACACTATCAAAATACCTTTGTTGTACTTTCATTTCTTTTAATAGAGAACCGGTAGTAACAAAAAATATAAGGCAGATTGAACGAATCAGTAAGTATATCTTAGACATTGATTTCATGGTGAATTTAACATTCCTTTATATATATATTGCTTTGGAACGATATGCAGTTCCTTAGGTCCTGCATTTTAACTCTTCTTCAAATTTTAAAACTGCGAGGAATTAATAAAAAAAAAAACACATATACCTCATATCAACATCATCTCCAAGCAGAGTACTTCTATCCAATATTGACTTGTATGTACCAGACGCATGATTAGAAGTAGCAAACCTTATTTAAAATTGGTTGTTGCACTGTGTGTGCAGATCATTTTAACGGCTAATAAATGACTTAGGGGTGTGACGCATTGTTATAAAAAGTACGCAAGAAACAATCCAAAATCGGTTACCCATTCACAGAAAGTAACGGTATAAATACTACAATAAATGGATCAAATATTACATGAAGATGGTATAAACACGTTACATCAACGCAAGGCTCGTTACGAGATTTAAAAATGATATATACATTATTTGTACCAGGAATAGCTGATTCAGGGTGAACGATATACAATGTACATCCTCACAGATTATAATGTAGACCCGCGGTATATGACCATGGGTTTTTGTATAGAGTAGTGTTTTAAGTTCATCTTTGGAGGCGGAAATGGTAGCTAGTCCTTTGCTCGGCGTCTTGTCCAATGTACAAATATTTAAGTGAACCAATAGGTATATGAGTCCCAGTATACACAACACAGTTTATGACGTCACATGCGTGCTGCTTACACATCTGTGCGCATGCTCTCTATATGCCTGTTATACATGTTTATAAATACCACCGGGCTATACCCATGTACCGGCCTAAATGCAGTGGATCGGTTACAAGAAGTGTGTAATTCAAGTAAAAGTCCTCTATATAACACTAAAAGACGAAAACAAATCATATTTGGAAGGTTTTAGCTGAAAGGATTTTGCGTTAAATAAGTCTTTGTATGACACATTATCTAAGTGTGTAAAGTTTTGTAGATCAAACCATCGTTAAGCTAATCATGAGTTATTTCCCCTTTCCGAGATTGACCGGTATGCACTAGGGGCAACATTCGAAGAAGCGAACCTTGCCAAAATGTATTGGGGAAACCTGTGTGTTGAAGGCTTTAATGACAATTAAAAATTATCTTGTTATCATTGTGTTAAATATAGCTATGTAACACATAATATATGGGTTCAACATGTGTGCAATGAATATTATGTAGAGTGAAGAGAAAAGAAACCATCATGCCAAATATCAGCATCCCAATACCAATAGTGAAGTTTCATTATTGAATTTCTGAAATACTTTGGCAAAAAATTCAAAATGATACATCATTTTAAGCACTAGTATCACCCTTTTTGACTCCAATTGTTTTTTTCTTAAGATGACTGTTTATTCACTGTGACGCTAAACCAATTAGATATCGTACAAAGTGATTTATTTCATAGGAGAAAACTCTACAACACAAAACAATAGCATAACAACACACTCATCAAGACATATATGCACCCTTTGAAATGAACCATAGGATTATTACAATAGGTATATTAAATAGTACCTATAATTTGTATAAATACGTTACAAATATTCATGTACGCATAGCTTGTTACTTTTTTAAATATGTATATATTTATGCATGGTACGACTGATTCAGTGCGACTATTAAAAAGCCTAATAGTGGATTTTCTTATTTACGTACATGTCGATTGATATATGGGAGCAACAGTAGTATAGTGTAGACCCGTGGTATATGGCCATTGTATAGAGCACGGTTAGGTGCATGTATTGGTAGTTTGTCGTCTGTCCTATGTCTTGTGAAATACATAAATATGTATCTCCAGGCTAATCGACTGGTAATACGGTACAGTTGTCAAACGCTTACGAAACCGTACACACATATACTTGGTTAGATATAAAGAACAATAACAATTCGTTGTTCGAAGGTCAACCATTGCTTGTTATTCATGCACCTCTGGTGTTCAAAATAATACACAGAGGTCACGTCCCCTGTAAGTAACTCAGATAGTTTCTTGAGTCGCAATTACCGTACGTTTTCAAAAAATCTTTAGCACAAAATATGGCGTTTAATTCAGATGTCACCAAAAAGGCAATCCATCAGACACAAAGCTTCTTTTATTTCAAGCATTTTGTCAGAATGTGATATGTACTGCCTTCTAATATACCACCCATATGAGCTACTTAGATACAGTATAACGACCATCGTTCTTCATTAATGATTTATAGCAGCAATTTGATGCTGCAACGAAATGCCTGCCTAGCCGTGGGTCCTCTTTGATGGCAAGTTTACCATTCCTGAATTTATTCAACTACATGTACCTGTAAACAGTTCTCAATAGGACGGTAAATGTGCTTTTTATGCTGCACAACACCGCATGTATCTGTTTGGCGGTATTTGAAAAGCACACCGTGCTTTCATGTATGAGCATATTTCTTGAGTCTCAATTTTCATTGTAGCATAAAAAAAGTATACATACGTCACAAGTTCATGTACTCTTCAACAATAAATAATCTATTCAGTTCTCGTCGGATGATATCGAAATGCACCTTATATTGTTCTTTAAATGTTCATGCAGTCTACCAATGAGCTAAATGTTTTAGTGTACGTCCTTACGGTATCTATGTAGTAACAGCATGTATTTAATAATCCTGGTATTACCACATATTAAAGCTCCAGTCTCCCGTGTGTGTTTGTGCTTGTGGTATGTTCAGCTTCTCTTATTATGACAATACAGTACAAAATCATGTCAGCTTAGATGTCAAAATGTCGCAGTTGAATACTAAGATTATGAAAATGTTAAATGAGTGCGAGTCGACGGGGACATTCGTTTCGTGTTTTTGTTGTATATACTGTACTTTTTGCAGTTAACACAATGGCAACGAAGCTAACACAAACTCACAGAGATCAACATTCCAAATGGATTGACCTGTCAACAAGACACAAGTTTACCTTACTGTACAAGATCAGCCGTGATGGATGTAATCCTGAAATCTTCCATCGTTACTGTGACAACAGGGGGCCGACAGTCACCATCCTGTACAATACCGACAAGTCGGTATACGGGGGGTACACAGCTTTCGACTGGAAATCAGATACTGAATATGAGGCCGATGCTCAAGCATTCTTGTTTACACTAGAGCACAATGGTACAGCCCAGGCAATGAAGTTTCCCCACAAAACAGACGGAACAAATGCGATATATGGAAAGAGCAGTTATGGGCCAACATTTGGAGATGGGCATGACTTGTGTTGTTTCACTGCAACTATAAATAAATCCGGAAATATTTTCCCATTGGATGGTAAGGTCGAATCAAGCAAGAGTTATGACATGAAAGGACAAGACTTTAAGTCATTTCAATGTCCTGGAGTTGAAGGTTTACAGTGTTCAAGGTAGGTATATGAAACTCAGGGGGATATTTTCAAATTATAATATTACAATTACTAAAATTGATAATAAATTCAAAAGAATGTTGTCTATGTTATAACTTTATTAATTTAATTGGCGTGGCATTCAAATACTTACATGAGTACCCAACGGGCGAAACAATACACGTAAACCACATGCCATAAAGTACCCATTTCAAATGCAGTGTTTATTTCCTCACTTAAAAATCACTATACTTACGAATTCTTTATGATTTCCCGGCATTTTTAAAACAGTTAATTAGTGCTACTCAAAGACAGGTTCAAGAAGTTATTAATATGTTAAGATTTACCACCGATTCTTGTAAGAAATATATTAGTTTTGGATATCGAAATGTAACTAAAATATTTTTTGCTATATCTCTCAAGAAAGTGAAATATTTCTAAATGTGATGCAATGGAAAACATACTTTACCTCAATAGCTTATATTATCAGAAAATAATTTGCTTGAACTCTGTAAAATATACATACATATGTATAAATAATGTTTTGTGTTACTTTCCTCATATATTGTTTTTACTGCCGTGAACATATTTTTTTTAAATCGAATAAGGGGTCGAAATTCTGTATAAAATGGGCACAACATACTTAAGCACACGATCTTCTGCTTTTCAAGAAACATATATGAATTTCAAGTTTAAATATATGCGAGGGAGAAATGATGTTAAGGTGCAAACATACTAAAGGACCGGTCACACTGTCACGAGTTTTACCCACGGTTTGTGGTAATATAACTCGCCACAACTCTTTCAGTGTCTGTAAGGACTCGAACACATCTGTGCATGTCGAAGAGATGTCTATTCATGTCGCTAGTTATCGGCAAACATCGGCGAGAATTTGAACGGTTTTAAATTGTCATTCAAGTTTTAATCTCGTACATGGGTGATGGTGGACACCTGTCGACACGTAAAAAGTCGTTCGACTAGTTTTGCATGCAACATGCAACGAGTTTGCACGACTTCTTTCAACATATGTATGAATTTTACGTGTTCTGCGAAAAAATTCTTCGACATTGCTACGAATTCTTGCGAGTTTTGGTGATTCTTATAAGGGGTGTACATTTATTGTATCACCGTCAGTTCTCCTGCAGACTCCGATTACTCCTCGTCACTTTCTCAGTCATGCGCCCAAAGAAAAAAAGTGCTAGCAACAAAGTCTGTGAAGGAATGTATGAATATACACCCAAGTTGCCAAAGATCGTCATTTGTCGTACATTTTGTCGTAGCTCACTCGTCACAACTCATCCAAAATTCTCACAAACGTTGCCAAAACTCGACTTGATACTCATAATTTCGAACATTCTCGTGCAAAGGTCTTCGGTTGTTGAGAAAATGTTGTACGGATGTTGCCCAAACTCTTGTTAAAAAAATTATCTTACTACTCTCAGTGTCGGGGATAACTTGAGCAGGAATTGAACTGATGTCCCATTCATTAAAAGCTATCGCAAATTCTTGGAAATTGCGTCGGGTTGTAACTCGCCAGCACTCGTGGTAACTCGTAGCCCAAAAACGTGACAGTTATTCAGGGTCTGAAATTTAAAAACGAAAAAGGCCTAACCCTGTATACAGTGGGTAAAGAGCAAAATACCTTTTGTGGTATTTTAGCATCCCAACTTACATACCGATTGTAAGTTTGATGAATGAAAGTGATATAACAAGAACGTTTCGTTCCAAAAGATCTTTGGTTTAAAAAAAAGTATGATACCTTAACATGCACTTAAAATTCTGAAAAGCTGACTAGTTCGTGCCATCTTGTATAATTAAAATCTGTATCAAGTTCCATGCTCAAGTTATATTCCTAAAGATATATAATCCATCCGATGAGGAAGGTTGGGAACACTGGGTTAAAACTATTGATCTAAATTTCAGTCATAATTTTTTTTATGGATCTTTAAATATCCTAATTTGCTGTTTACGACAGGAAAAAAACTGACGCATATCAAAATCTGCTTCAAATGTGTTTTATATGTGATATTCAATATGAAATAGTTGGTAAGATACCTTTGAGATATTGTCTGTAAAAGAAATGAATTAAACTAACAGCAAATGTTTCAAACGATAATCGTTAATGGGTATTCAATTAAGGCTACATCTAATACGATGAGGGAAAATTAACTTAATATTACGACAATACGCAGTAACTGTAAGTTTGTTATGGTTATAACTATTTTACTTCATCTTTGAATCGTTTTTCTCTGAAGGACATCTGGAGGTGCACTAGCAAACTTTTTTCAAAACAAATAGATACTGTTTTTGTTTTGCGCTACAATTAGAACTCTACTTATTATGTTTCTTCAAACAAACCCTGGGCGTCTCACCCGCATTTCCTTCAGATTAGACATGCCGTTATAAACATGTTGTGTAATTTGAATTTGCTATATAGTTTTCAACTCGCGGTCAGTGAACAGAACAACATTTTAGAAGAGACCAAACACTTTCGAAATAAAGCCAGTATACCGTATATATGCATAGATCACAAGACAACATAAAGCAAATACATATCTTAAATTCCATTTAAGGTCTTAATAATGTCTCAAAATGTACCTAAGAAACGACCAGAGTAAGACCTTAAATTTCTATCTTGTTTTTCTAAATAGTAATATTTCATCCTGCATGTTCATGTCAAATTTATGAGTGAAATATACAGTAGTTAAACTTAAACAACTTTTATTACCAAGAGCCATAACATATTTACTTATGATAAACGGGATCCAATGAAATGAGGGTTGTAATGTACTCATAATGTGTATGGGTTTTTTCAACCCGGTGTTACTTGTTAAGAGAAAACCTTGGACGAAAAGGGGCAGGAGGAGGCTCAGAGAAAAGCTAAACAGCTACTGGAAAAGCCATGAATACCGCGTGTCGACTGGAGTTCTATCGTATGTAAATTGAAGACGTATGCTTTTAATAGTGAAAATCATATATACTGTTTATGCCAAACAGTTGTATTCGCAACAAACGCTCACTTCAAATTGAAGCCATCGTTTCCAAAGCTCTATTTCGTTAGTTGTATTAGATAGCTGATTGGGTTTTTTTTATTTTCACCATTATTTTTCATCTCATTGTCCATTCATATTTCATAATTTAAGAAAAAACATATATGTAAATTTACAAAATTGAGAGGAAATGCAGCTTGAATTTGCTATAAGTTAATATCATGTATGTGACTAACTTAAGGAATATTCAAAACGTTGGTATGTTTTTTTGTTTGTTCGGGTTGACCAAGATCTGGAATATATTCATCTATCCAGAGCGATGGTTCTATTTCCAAAATAAATACAAATTATTGGCTTTTATTACTTTGTAATCATGCATTATATGCGAATGTTGGCGAAAGACAATGATTTAAAATGATTTGCTCAATTCTACATAAAAACAGTTGGAAGAGTCGAAAAAGCAAAAAGTGACGACATATGAACCATTACCCGGACTGGATCTGTAGCAGGCGAGGATCCTGTTGGTCGGTCAGGTCGGAGCTGGGAAGTCCAGCTACTTCAACACCATCAACTCTATCTTCCGAGGACACGTAAGTGTCCAAGTCAACGCCGGAAGTGCCGAAAAGAGCTTGACAACTTCCGTGAGTACAGTTTTTGCATGAAGCCATAGACAGTATTCATTAGATATTTCATTTTGTATTCGTGTTTGTCATGAAATTTTGTTCCGCAATTTGATCGTTATTATTTTTATTGTGCCACAGTACCGAATGTATCAAGTAAGGGACGGATATGCAGGTAAACCCCTCAACTTTCGCTTATGCGATAACCGTGGTTTAGAAGAGGATCACGGTCTTACTCACATAGAGGTCGGATATCTACTTGACGGTCACGTGCCTGAAAAACACAAGGTGGGTAAATAAAAACTGAATTTCATAATGTCGTTCACTATCGCAAACAGTTTGAGACCGTAGTGCAGTGGTCAATTGACAAGACGATGGAACGTGCGCTAGACAGGCAATATATCCTTTTTACTCTATGTCGGGGTACAACATGCATACTTAAAATATAAACCTGATCAAACTTAAGGCAGATACTTGTGCGTTGAAGATCAAATATAAACTACTCCAAAATTAAAGGCAATTAATTTTAACGTTGCTATTTATCTTTATCAAACACATCGAATATATGCAGGAATCCGTAGCATTTTCCAGACTAGGCAACTTATATCATTTGCAAGGTAGCATGTACAGAGCCTTCAATTTTGTCATTATATACATTTAGAGTGTGAGACATATATGTGAATCGAGAAGGGACCCTTGGATTTCAAAGTTGTATAATCGCTATATAAAAGAATGCTTTATTTTTTTAAATCTGATTCTATGTATGTCTACCGTCGCATAAATACGTTAGTAGTCTTTACAAGGAGGCAGCGAACATACGCATTTCGAAAAGAGGAGCCCTTGGATATCAAAACTCCATATGTATTTTCATTCATCTTGTAATCAATTGGCGGATTGGTCGAGTGGTTTACACTCCGGCCTTCCAAGCAGGCGGCCGGGGTTCGATCCCCGAAGTCGTCGTGCGCATCGATATTCAGAGATAGTAATTTTCCCCCGCCCTAATAACACCAACAACCCAGGTGGAGTATAAATTGGTCTGGGGTGGATGTTGCGGTATCTGTGCTGTAGCATTCAAGTGAGGTGGCACTATAGATGATGCCATGGGAAGCACGTTCCCACTTCAAACAGAACACATTAAATCTCTAGCACACACGCAGGCATACACCCATAGGGAGATGATATATAAGCCAGGTGATACAGGACTAGTAGTTCTATAGGAGACACGATAGTCTAGTGGTATGAGGTCGGGCTCGTGACCGGAGGTTTGCGGGTTCAAGTCACGTCACGGCACTGTGTTGTATCTTGTACAAGACACTTTGCTCCGCTTGTTCCAGTCTACTCAGCAGGGAGTTGAGAGAGATGTTGGCTGGTTTCAAAGGCATAATTAACCACGAATAAGGATTTGTGAACTGCTTTTAGACGACCTACGAACTAAGTCGTGATAAACCATTATATAAGTACCTCGAATTATTATTAGTAATAGTAAGCGCCTGATAAGGCAGCTCCAGCAAGTTCCTCAAAAAATGTACTGCATATGACTGATATGTTAATTTATTAGTTGTATATCTTTGCACTGTAAAGCGCTGTAGAGTGGCGTATGTTAGCTAAATAGGGCGCTAAATCAAATGTTGTATAGTATCAATACCGATAGTACCGTACTGGATACAATAAAGGTAATATTCTTCCAAATTTGGTCAAAACAGGCAGTCAAATTAGGACAAAATATTTTATATTAATTATGTCATATCATTTACAAAGTAAAGTATGACCATATATATACAGTGTGTATAGTAAAATTAGATCTAACGACCGACTAGAAAACTAAATCTTTTCTTTTTTCTATGCTTACCTACTTCACATGGACATTTTTTTTTTTTTTTTTACTTTTTCCTAAGTTGTTAGACAATAACTTATAAACTCATATTGCTATTGTTTGACTATATCAGTTTACCAAGGATATTCCACTCGCGCCTGATGCAATAGGCTTCGTGAAGAATCCAACATTGTCTGATAGTATCCACTGTGTGGCGTTTGTCCTTGACGCCAGCACTGTTGACGTCTTCCCGGAGAAAGTAATGGAGCACATCAAAACAACGCAAGCGCAAGTGAATCAAAGAGGTAACGAACTTAATTTGTTATCTTCTTTCCATTTCGATTAATAGTTTGTCACAATCGTAATAATCTTATTATTCGATTATTTAATGACAACGTTCGTATATGTCAAAATAAAATGGTAGATTATTATTATTTCTATTATGTAAAGAAACAGTTGAAGTTTTTGTCCTTTCAAGGGATACCCCGGGCTGTTTTGCTGACTAATATTGACCGAATTTGTGAGGAGGTCTCTGATGACGTCAGCAAAGTGTTCTTCAGTGCAGCAGTAGAAGAATGTGTGAACAAGGTATCTATGATGATGGGATTACCCCAGTCACATGTACTACCTGTCAAAAACTATCATCGTGAGGTACAGCTTGATCAAAACATCAACATCTTGGCACTCCTTAGTCTCGAACGAATCCTCAATTTTGTCGACGACTTCCTCTACAACAAACTTGATGAACGCGAGGTTGCGAAAGTCGAGCGCATTAAGATTAATGAATAAGGTTTTGCTGGAAAAATCAGAACTCAAACTGAAACTTAAAAAGCCCGAGTTTATGATACTCAATATTTGCAACCTTAACGGTAGATCATTAAATTAGTTACTTTTTTTACAAAATAATAGCTTATAAGTAGCATGATGTATTTTTATTTTGAAGTTTTAAAATTGTGATTGAGGTCTTTCTGACTAACACTATCTATAACCTTGCATTGCTTCTAAGATGCAAATCTTTTGCCAATATACAGTTGCCACAGATGAGGCACTTCTGCATAATCTTCTTGGAGAAAAGCATGTAAAACATTAGTATATACAGGTGAAGTAACCCATTACCATATCCTGGGGAAAAAACATATAACCATATCACAGGAAAAGCATATCCTAATAATACTAAATAATATGTTAGTGAGACACGAAAAACACAAACTGTAGTAACACAGTACCATATATAGTTAATAGAAATTATTGAGGCTAACATCATAATATACAGGACAAACACACAGAGATAAACACACAGGGAAAGTAACCCAGTACCACATATGCTCCTATAAATACTATATTACATACTGAAAATATCATCAATATAAACAGGACAAACACACAGAGAACGTTACTCACTATCCTGCAGAAGAAACATCTATTATAAATACTATATTACAGTTGAGAATAACATCAATATAGACAGTTAAGACACATAGGGAAAGTTATTCAGTATCATTTCACGGCACACAAAAAAACATATCCTTTATATACTTAATAAAAAAAACTTTGAGGATAACATTAACATAAACAGGATTAACATACAGGGAAAGTAAGCAAGTACCATATACACCGTGTAAAACATCTCGTAGAAATACTAGATTACTAGCATCAGTATATACAGGACAAACACACACAGGAAGTAACCCAGTACCACATCCCAGCACAATTACCTCTCTCATATATACTAAATTACATGTTGGTGATAGCATCAGTATAAACAGGACAAACACACAAAGGAAGTAACCCAGTACCACATCCCAGCCGATTACCTCTATCATATATATACTAAATTACAGGTTGGGGATAGCATCAGAATATACAGGAAAAACACACAAAGGAAGTAACCCAGTACCACATCCCAGCACAATTACCTCTCTCATATATACTAAATTACATGTTGGGGATAGCATCAGTACATGTATATACAGGACAAACACACAAAGAAAGTAACCCAGTACCACATCCCAGCACAATTACCTCTCTCATATATACTAAATTACATGTTGGGGATAGCATCAGTATAAACAGGACAAACACACAAAGGAAGTAACCCAGTACCACATCC